GCATCACATTCCAACAATGATGGCAGGGGGAACTGAGTTTCGCCGTCGAGTGATTCTATCTGGAACCCGACGGCTGTCCTCCCCGCCGTGCGCTGGACCCCAGCACACGTCTTCAGAGTATATTGGAGTTCTTCACCCTGAATATTGAAGAGCTCGAAGAATGCCGGACTGGCTAAGGACTGGTTGCTCTGCCCATCTAAGATGACGTACATCTTCGCGGTCTTTTCTGGATGCCCTGTAGGGAAAACCTTAGCGAGACATATCTGATGGCAGGACCGTTGAGTCTTTGTGGTGCCACAAACCTGAGTACAGTGGGTGCCAACCTGCTGAGTGGGAGCACTCGATGCTTCTGCCGAGGTTGTCGTGGCGGAGGAGTCAGGCGTGGGTTGCTGTGGCGTATCAGAGTCCGGATGCAGGGCACTGGGGTGCTTGGGGCTGTCACACACATGACACTTGATAGCAGCTGTGCAGTCCTTAGATCTGTGCTCCTTGGACTCACAGCACCTGAAGCATAACTGGTACTCCTTGATCAAAGCCTTCCGCTCCTCCAGCGGCTTTGTTCTGAACTCCCTGCACTTGTTCAGAGGGTGCGGCTTCTTGTGAAACAGACAAAACGGCTCTGGCGTCTCCGTCGGCGTCATTGCCTTCCGTTCCAAAGGTCTCTCCCTTCTTGGTTTTGCCGGAATAGCAGACAGCTCCGTCTTTTGCACAGACACCGCTGTCTTAGCCCTGGTTTCTTGTAGAGGTGCTTTCTCAATGTGAGAGGCCACACGGTTTATAGACCATCCACGCTGAGCGTCATTCTGAATCATCACAGCCTTTGCGACAAAATTTACAAGGTACGAGAAGGGAGGTTACATACCCTGACATGCAACCTTGTAGCCGGCTACCACTTTGCTCCACTCGTCCTGCAGTGCAGACGGCAACTTCTCCTGGGTCTCTAAATGCGCCATGCATTGGTCGAGACTGGCGAGTCCTGGTAATGTCGGATCCTCTTTTGCCGCCTGCAGGTTTTCAAGGAGATCAGTTAAATCCCATAGCTTCTCAAGGTTCCCGGCCATTATTGGGGGGAAGTTCTTCAATTGCCCCATGAGTGCAGTCTCGACAGCCGTCGGGGATCCATAACGGTTGTCAAGCCTCGCCCAAACACGTGCCAAGGCTTTTTCTGGAGTCGTTATATTTGCGGAGTGAAGGTTCTTTGCTTGTTTTGCGGACTCTGGACCCAGCCACTCTGCCAAGAATGTGAGTTGTTCAACTGCACGCAGGTTCATGTCCCTAATTGCTTCCAAGAAGGTCATCTTCCAAAGGTAGTAGTTCTCTGGACGATCTGTGAACTTCTGGACACCTCTATCAGCCAGGTTCCTTCTGATGTTCCAAGGTGCTGTGTAGCTGCCGAAGTGCACCATGTTTGCCTGTGCAGAAGCCGGGGCTGGCGCCAGAGTAAACACAGGGTCGTCTTTGGTCTCATGAACTCTGGTGCTGCGGGGTTGAATACCTTGGTCTCTACGCCTTCAAGTGGAAGAACATACGTGTTCTGCTCCTGAACATAGTCCAGTATTCATTGAGATGGGTCCCATACCCCAAGTTCGGCTGGGTTGAAGTCCGACTCCGGATTCCAGTATCTATCTTGTAGAAGCTTGGCCCGTGCAGCAAGTCCTTCGACCTTAAATGCCTTGCGAAGCAATTTTATATCTGCGACTCCCTATCTTCCTTTTCTGCCTGCAGCTTGCGAGCCTCTCTCCTCAGAACCTCTTCTCCTTTTGCAAGTTCTGCTGCCTTGGCTGCCAACATGGCATCGATCCTCGCTTCAGCCAATATTGCGGCATCACTCTCATGCCTGGTAGATGAAGGCTTTTGCGAGGCTTCGGTATCCCGAGACTTGTGGGAGGACCTTTTGGAGACCACAGTGTCTTGGGACTCGTGAGAGATCTTTGACTGGCCGGACTTGGCAGAGGTCACAGTGCGTTAGGACCCGTGAGAGGCCTCAGACCCGTAGGACTGTTGGGTAACCGCAGAATGGTGGGACATGGCAGAACTCACCGACCGTAGGGATTTGTGGGATATGTCAGAATGGCAGGACTTGGCAGAACTCACCGACCGTAGGGATTTGTGAGAGGTGTCAGAATGGCGCGATTTGGCTGAGCTCACTGACCATGGGGTTTTGTGAGAGGTTTTAAACCCACAGGACCGTTGGGAAGCCACAGGATTGTGCTCTTGGGTGGAAGCATCCTTGCCACTATGCCCATTCTCGACCAAGAGAAGGCGCCTCTCTTCCTCTTCCTCGACGCGCGTTCTTAGGTCTGCCAGAGTGGTGTTGCAGGTCTCTTCCTTTTCCAGGGCGTCCTGCAGAATGCACTGCTTTTCTGCCAGGGCTTTGGCTGTGTTCAGTCGATCCAGAATGTCCACAATACGACTTAAGCAATCTTTCCACTCTACGGAGTGGGCTGTAAGAGCCTTTCACATTGCGCACATATGTGTCAGACGGGTTGTATTGGGTGCAGCATCTATATCTTTCTGCGTCTTTTTCCAAAACCTGTCTAACTTCCTGTGCTAGGTCAACAACAGTGCCTTCTGGACGTGATTCAACGCATGGCCAAAGTTAAGTAGAATTAAATCATTTTTTATTAAGCTCCACATCCATTCAGAAGATTTCTGTACTCACAATCAAGCTGAATAACTGGTGAAATTCACATCTTTGTAATCTAATTCAGTTCACTGGCTCATGGTGAAAAAGATTGCGTTCCTCCGACCCCTTTGCCGTTTAAAGAGTGGACAAAGGAACGGAAGAGAGCTGTAAACTCAAATCCCGCGCCTCTGGGTGCAGGGAATGACTGTTAGCCAGTCAGAGGGGTGCTTTGGAATGTCTAACTAAAGACTTCAATTCCCGGGGCAACTGCTCTTAAAGATATATGGCAGTTCTACTTAACTACAGTTAAACACTGGCTCGGGGCAGCACAGTGCCCATGGGCTAGACATTCTCTCCCAGCCTAACTTACCTCATGGAGTTGTTAGGAAGCTAAAATGGAAGGGGGGGAGCTATATAAGCCCCTCTGAGTTCCTTGGAGGAAGGGTGGGACAAGCCAGACAACTGGGGAGCTAGATATTTAGGGGAGAGTCTGTGGCTCTAAGATAGAACATCTCCTTTGATTGCAGATGGTCCCAGCTTCAGTTCCCACTAGGGAGGGGCACAAACTGGCTCACAAAGTTCATGATGAATTTTGGCCGGTTCAGGGTCTGCGAAGTGAATTTCATGGCAGGCTAACCGGCACAAAACTTTCCACAAACCTTCAAGCTGTTTGTGGCAGTTGTGGCGGTTTGTGAATGGATACATTTCCAGACAGACTGTTTCCGCTCCATCTAAATGTTTACCCAACTTTAAAGCAAAAGGGGGGCAGAACTTGGAGGGCATGTAGAGGAGCATCTGGTGGTGAACCCCAGCAGCTTTAGTGTGTCTAGCTTGCACATGACCCATTTTATACACTCCTGAACCTGCACCTGTCAAAATGACTGCCTGTCATTCCCCCTGAAAGCACTTTCCTTGGGGTACCTCCTTGGGGGGGGGGCGTAATTTGGATCTCATAAACCCAATCCACACCAAACCTGGAGGGCATGTAGAGGAGGTCAGCTGGAGATCCCCTGCACATTTGGTGCCTCTAGTACACCGGAGGGCCATTCTAGTGAGTCATGAATCTTACAAACTGAACCGGTTTGTTTAGCCCCCAGAGGTTTGTGATGGTTCGTGGTGCACGAACTGGGTACGTCACGAACCTTGAACTGAACTGCATTTTCCTGGTTTGTGCCCATCCCTAGTCCCCAGCATCTTCAGTACAAAGCACCAGGTGACATGAAAAGATTTTACATGAGACCCTGGAAACAGGCTGCCCGAGTAGATGATGCGGACTTAATGAACTGAGGGCCTGACTTTGCATATGTCAACACCGTTGTGAGCTGAGGCATACATTCATGTGAGCCGAGGGATAATCACTTGCCCATGGCAACCAGGGATTTAATGACAGGTGAGATTCAAGCCAGGGACTTCCTGGGCCCACAGCTCGCTCTTGTGAGCACAGTGTGCCGTTCTGGTTACACCTCCTCCCAATGGATGTCGGCAAGCCAGATAAGGTGCAGAAGCAGATGACAGAATAATCATAGGGTTGGAGAATTTTCCATTATGACTTGAGGGTTTGGGGTTTTCTTACTTTAGATAAACAAGTGACTGAAGGACATGAATGCCGCTAAGTTTTGGATAGTGTGAAGAAGGGGAAGTTCCCCCCCCTCTTCTTCCATAGAATTTGGGGGTCACCAAATGAAATTAATTGATCAATGAATCAATTGTTCATTAATTCAGGACACGGAAGTAATTCTTCATAGTGGAATTTGCTGCCACTGACCGACCAAGGACTGAATACAGGATTCACGTAGAACAGGTGTCAGACAGGGCAGTAACTATCAGACACCATAAGTCCTTTGATTGGCTTTATTGTGGAAAGTCAGGAGAGTTGCAGACAAGTCAAACGCTTCGACAGAACTGAGGGACATTACAGAATTAGGAACTACAGGAACCTCTGGTCTAACCTTCACACACACGTCATGAATACATATTAATTAGGCGGGTTAAGACGTTTCGATTAACTTGGTGAGAATATTTATCAGTTGATACTCTCCCAGTTTGGTGTAGTGGTGAAGTGCGTGGACTCTAATCTGGGAGAACCGGGTTGGATTCCCCACTCCTCCACTTGCAGCTGCTGGTGTGACCTTGGGTCAGTCACAAGCTCTGGCACAGCTGTTCCTGAAAGAGCAGTCTGTGTCAGAGCTCTCTCAGCCCCACCCACCTCACAGGGTGTCTGTTGTGGGGAGGGGAAGGGAAAGGAGTTTGTAAGCCGCTCTGAGACTCCAAGTGAAGGGCGGGGTATAAATCCAATCTCCTTCTTCTAAGGCCATGAGAAATAAGAATAGCGAAGAATCTCTCACAGCCTTCACGGGGGAGGCTCCACTTCACAGTGTTACATAAGCGCGGCTATTTACATTCACACAGGCCTGTCTCAATCTCTCCTCTTCAGGAATGTGAGAGGAGGATCCTTGCTGACAGATTGATACAAAGCCAGCAGGTGCTACATGAGACTTGGGAACTGAAAGAGGGGAGGAAATGGCGAAAGCAATAGTGATAACATTCAGCAGAGCAAAGCTATGTACACCAGAGACTCAGACATGCATGTATACTGACCCAATGACCAGGCAAGGGTCCGATTCTGACAATAGGCCTCTCAGTGTCCTGGCTAGGAGTTCAATGGAACCTCCACATACAGAGGCAATATACCTTAGAATACCAGATAACGGCTGCGGTCACACGGAGCATTAGGCACGCTAGAGAGACGGAAGATAGGCGGATTTTCTGGACGCGATCTCACCGCCACATCTGGGAAGCGTAGAGCTCCCATGGCTCACTCCCAAGATGCGCGGAAACCACGGGACAAGGGTGGGCGCATGATTGCGTTTCTGGTGGAATCCCGTGGCATCCGGCGCCCGCCCATGCCCCCTTGTTAAAAGTTTTTTTCCAACTGTCCATGGGATGCGCACAAGCACCCAACGGGGCATGCGCACACTTTGGTGTCCGGAAAAAAAACCACCCGTTTGCCGCACC